CTGATAGACTTTATGCTGTTGCGGCTAGAGAGGTGAGCCTGATTCCCAGTTTGGACTTCTCTGCTGACATCCACCCCTTGGCGTTCATATTATGACCTTGTGCAGTTGCGAGGGCCGTAAAACCTTACAAAAACAAACAAGACCTTAGATGTTGTTGTTGTTATCGATCCGGCAACAGCTGGGCTCTCGCCCTTCTGTCCAATGCCAAGTAGTGATAAGTGCAGGTTTGCTGCAGTTGCTGTAATGTTCCATAGAGTGTGTTGTCAATGTGACCTTAGAGAGAACAGATAGAACCACAGTGACAGAAACACGAAGTGCTCGTAAAAGGACAAAAGTATATATGGGTTTAACACCCCTGTCAACACTATTATTAGGCTACTTAAAAGACCCGACCTCTGATTTTAATATCCTTCTCTGATGGGACTGAGCCAAATGAGTTGGGAGCTTTGAAAACTTCAAAACGACCCGAGTTCAAGAACGCCCTGTTTTGGGGATGGGGGGGGGGAGGGCTCGAGCCAGGCCCATCCACACCATAGTCTAGCGCAATACTGACTGAGCTAACGTAGCGCCAGCAAAGCGCCGTTTATGGTAATTGTGTGGAATGATTTATTGTCTCCTGTTATAGCTGCCAACACTTTGATGATTTCCATAAGTCACAATCTCACCTGTTGCTGAATTGTAATCTGATCCACACTGGCTATCAGACAACTGACAGCTCAAAGTCATTTATTTGGTTGACTAGTTACATTTTGTTTTTGCTGGTGGTTGAAGGACACCACATGTTGATGCTGTTTTGTTTTGCGTGAGGTTTTTTTCCTCCTGTTGTTTGTGTCTGTCTTTATTGCTTTTTTTTTTTTAAGCACTATCGGGCGGTTAGCGGGTGCTCTGGTGTGGTTTTCTCCGTCTTTCCTTTCAAATTTCTATTGTCATGATCTTTCCTCCTCCTTTTTGTGTTTGTTACTCTCTTGTAACACCCCTAATCTTTCTTTGGCACTTATATGACTATATTATTGTGTCGCAAGTGCCATAAAACTCTTACTCTTACTAAACTTTCAGTACAAGATGACCATTATTGTGTCTTAAGTTCTTCTTAAAAATTTCAAACTTAGGAGTTTACATGAAAACTTTTATTTAACAAAGAGAACTCTATGATTTTTTTTTAAACTGACCACTGATACAGGTTACACTCGTGAGTGGTTGGCGGGTGCTCTGGTGTGGCTTGCTTCTTCTTTCCTGTTAAACATCTATGATCTTCCTTATCTCTCCTCCTTCTTTTTTGTATTTGTTACTCTCTTGTTACACCTCTTATCTACGGCACTTATTTGACCTTATTGTGTTGCAAATGCTGTAAAACTCTCTCACTAAAACTAAACTAAAGCCGTGAAGGTTTGGGTGGTTGGAAGGTGCCCCTGGTGGGTGCAGTTTCCTTTCTTTCCCTCTGTTGTTTCTGTCTGTGGTGTTGCTTCTTCCCAGCTCTAAATGACCGTTTATGTGATTGTGTTGGTGTGCTTTTCTTTCAAAGTCAAACTTGAGTTTTAAAATCATTTATTCATCTTTGGGTGGTTGGCAGGTGCTCTGGTGTGGTTTTCTTGTCTCCTTCTTTCCTATCAAACACACATCTCTCCTCCTTTTTTATTTAGAGGGTGCCCCAGGTAGGTCCTACTTCTTTTCTTTCCCTCTGTTGTTTTTGTCTGTTTGCCTTGCTTCTCCCCTGCACTAAATCACCATTGTTGTGACTATGTTACTTCTCCCCTGCACTAAATCACCATTGTAGTGTCTATGTTACTTCTTCCCTGCACTAAATCACCATTGTTGTGTCTATGTTACTTCTTCCCTGCACTAAATCACCATTGTTGCGTCTATGTTACTTCTTCCCTGCTCTAAATCACCATTGTTGCGTCTATGTTACTTCTTCCCTGCTCTAAATCACCATTATTGTGTCTATGTTACTTCTTCCCTGCACTAAATCACCATTATTGTGTCTATGTTACTTCTTCCCTGCACTAAATCACCATTGTTGTGTCTATGTTACTTCTTCCCTGCACTAAATCACCATTGTTGCGTCTATGTTACTTCTTCCCTGCTCTAAATCACCATTGTTGCGTCTATGTTACTTCTTCCCTGCTCTAAATCACCATTATTGTGTCTATGTTACTTCTTCCCTGCACTAAATCACCATTGTTGTGTCTATGTTACTTCTTCCCTGCACTAAATCACCATTATTGTGTCTATGTTACTTCTCCCCTGCACTAAATCACCATTGTTGTGTCTATGTTACTTCTCCCCTGCACTAAATCACCATTGTTGTGTCTATGTTACTTCTTCCCTGCACTAAATCACCATTGTTGTGTCTATGTTACTTCTTCCCTGCACTATTATTGTGACTATGTGCAACTCTTTACTCGAACTCAAACAAAACTAATAAATGTTCTGCCCCTGTATGACCTGTTTGTGTTGCAAATGCCATAAAACTCCTTACCAAATACTAAATGTGTTTCATTTCATATGTCCTCTCTGTCAGTGGAGACTTTGGGGTGACGGACCGGGACGTGATTGGCTTTGAAATTCCCATCACAGCTGTGGTAGGTTGTCTTGTTTATACATTGCATCACTTACACACCAACAAGCACATAAATAGAATTAACCCCATGTGGGAACCCCATTGCAGACACTGTGACTACCTCGAGGAGACCGTTGAACATCTTCTCCTTCACTGCCCAAACCTGGCAGTTCTTCAACGCAGGCTCCTACACACACCTACAGACTTACAAAGCCTGCTCTACTCTGGCGCTGACCAGATGACAAGGACATGTGGTTACTTGAGGGAGGCATTGCGCTGCCAAGAGCGAAATGCTCGCAGCTAAAGGGATTTGAAGACGACAACAACAACTTACATTGCATTTATTTAGCGTGTGTCCCCTCTCAACAGCAAGCTCTGTGCACTTTACATTCTATATATTATTACCCCAGCAGGCCATAGAACACTCACAAGCATTCTCAGCTTCCATGATTAGGACGGCCGGTCCGCAGCGTCAGGTGCCAATTCAAAATTTTTGACAAAGCGCCAGGCAATGAGTGAACACGCCTTACCCATCTGAGGCAGGTAAATTTGGCAGTGGGTTCTCTCTCTCTCTCTCTCTCTTCTGGCGCTGTGGCTTCATAAACGGTCAGCGATGCCGACAGCACGCAGGAACTCAACACTTGCCCGGGGGACCTTAAAAAGTGCTGAAAGTGGGTTACTGAAATGTCCCAGTAGACGGGTGGCCGTGCGTTGATAAAATAAGGTGGCCGCAGCTGTGTTAGACAGGTTACCATTTTACACTGTTAAATTATATAGAAAAAATGCAAGGGGGGGGGGGGTGGAAAGTGACCGTTTGTACAGGTGGCTGTAATGACAGGTTCGACAGTACTTTAAGTCTGTGTAATTGTCTTCTTGTCTGTTGTTATATGTGAGACAGCGTGGTGGAATCAGGCTCTCGTCAAAATAATCAAAGTGAAGAAACTTGCTTTTTTCTGTTGGTTTGTTTTTTGGGTCACTTCTTTTCCTGCCCATTAAAGAACTCAATTCTGCATAGATTTTTCTGAAAAATTTTGATTAAAGGCACACAAAATGTAAAATTTCAGTTACCACGGACTCTTAAGCTAAGGAAATAACTAATCTTTGGCGGCCATTTTCTCAGTAATTTTACCCCTGAAAACAGGTGACCCCCACCTACTTCATTCGCAAATATCTCGACTTGTATTCAAGATAATGGATATATTTTCCATCCTAATAAACACAAGTGAACAAGCTTTACGAAGATACCAATAACTCTACATGCTCGAAAATTGACGAGAGCCTGATTCCACCACGCTGCCTTACATATATTGCCGCTTACACCTACTACTTTTACTTTTACTCTTTCACTTTTTCATCCTCTGTTGCCGTTAAGCGTCGAGAGGAGATGCAGTTTTCTATGGTAGGCCAGCTCCGCAGCTCTTTCAGTTGTGATGTTATACATTTATTTATATTCTAATCTCTTTTTTGCTTGTCATTTTGCACTTTATTTGCAAATAATCTTGATATAGAGATGCATGAGACAGTAAATATGATCCATAAATGAAAATGTGAGAGGTACTAACAAAATGAGTTACTTTCCACAGTCTTGTGAATGGAGATATTGGCCACAAATTGACACTGGGGTTAAGTTTGTAGATTTTGAACTGATGCCATTTTCCTCAAGTATAGCATGTCTTTTATTATATTATCATACTTATAAATTTAGTGTCAGACATTGATGGACGAGTTACTATTCTTACTTATGAATTGTACAAACTCTTCCTATGAATTTGATATATTATATCTTTTTTCATTTGGTTAAAATCCATGATTTCCCCACACACGTGTTTCCATGGAATCCGTAAAAGTTCATAATTTTTTGGTCATGTCCAGTAGTCTCCTCTGAAGGCTGAATTGTTGGCCGAAGTAGAACTACTTTGTCTTGTCTCTTGTCCAGGTCGCAGATCAGCAAGGCTCAATGTTCGGCCATTGTTGCTTCGACGTTGGCGACGTGAAATGTACGCTGGGTACCGGAACCTTCATCGACCTAAATACGGGCAGCAAGCCGCACGCCTCTGTTGCTGGTGAGTGTGAGTGGGACCCAGTGCTTGTTGATCCCCATGCTGTCTTAGGGCGTATCTGCTTAGTTACGATAATGCGTCATTTTTAGCTTTGCGCTGAACCCTCTGCGCCATGAAAGTTGGCGAAATTTTTGCGCAGATTTTACTGGAAATTGTTCATCAAAGACGCAATAAAATGTGAGGCAGCGTGGCGGAATCAGGCTCTCGTCAAAATAATCAAAGTGAAAAAACTTGCATTTTTCCGCAGGTTTGTGAATTTTTATCAAATTTTTGTTTTTTGGTTCAACACCTTTCATGCCCATTGAAGAACTCATTTCTGTGTGGCTTTTTCTGAAAAACGTTGATCAAAGGTACAAAAAATGTAGATTTTCAGCTACCACGGATCTTAAGCTAAGGAAATAACGAATCTTTGGCAGCCATTTTCTCACTAATTTTGCCTCTGAAACAGGTGACCCCCACCTCCTTCATTTGCAAATATCTCGACTTGTGTTCAAGATAAACGGATATTTTTTCCATCCAAATAAAGACAAGTAAACAAGCTTAGCGATTACACCAATAACTCTACATGCACAAAATTGCCGAGAGCCTGATTCCACCACGCTGTCTCACAAATGTAAATTTGCAGTTTCCTAACTATGTTTCATTATTGTAGTTGAGTTTACTTTTGGTCAGGGTGGGTGATTGGCAGGTGCTCTTCTCTATAGTTTGCTCTTTCTTTCTATCAAATATAGCCTGTGTACCTTAATCGGGGTTGAGCGCTATATAATTGCAATATATGTGAGGCAGCGTGGTGGAATCAGGCTCTCGTCAAATTTTTGGCATGTATGTAGAGTTATTGGTATCATCTTAAAGCTTGTTCACTTTTCTTTATTTTGTTGAAAATTTTTTAAAATTTATTTTGAATACAAGTAGAGATATTTGTGAATGAAGGAAGTGGGGGGTCACCTGCTTTTAGAGGTAAAATTAGTGAGAAAATAACCGCCAAAGATTAGTTATTTCCCTAGCTTATGAGTCCGTGGTAACTGAACATTAACATTTTTTGTCCTTTTTATCAACGTTTTTCAGAAAAATCCACTCAGAAATGAGTTTTTTAATGGGCATGAAAGGTGTTGAGCCAAAAAACAAAAATTTGATAAAAATTCTCAAACCTGCGGAAAAATGCAAGTTTCTGCACTTTGATTATTTTGACGAGAGCCTGATTCCACCATGCTGCCTCACATATTTTCTTATTTATGGTCCTTATCTCTCCTCCTTCTTTTCTTCTGTATGATGCCCTATACTGACACCTCCGTTCTTTGCCTATTGTATGATCTATTTGGGTTGCAAGTGCCGTAAAATTCTAATTAAAGCTGGTATCTGTGGTGAAGCAGTTGAGTTAGGTGTTTTGCTGTCGCACACAGGAGACTAGTGTTCGATTCCATAGTGGGAGAAAATTGTTATTGAGTATCCCAGTTTTTCTGCTGGGATACTGTATCCTTCTCTGGGATACTGTATCCCTCTCAGCCTCGGTTTTGCCCTGACAGGCAAAGTGGAAAGCATGCCTCCTAAATGACCTAAATTGTGTTGATGGAGGCATAATAAACACCTAAGTTAAAATGATAATAATTTTTGTTTTTACTCTCACTATATCTAAAACTGACTCAGCGTTTGCTCCTGGGTGGTTGGCGGGTGCTCTGGTGTGGTTTGCTTCTTCTTTCCTATCAAATGTCTTCTATCTTCTTTATCTCCCCTCCTTCTTTTTTTGTGTTTGTTACTCTCTTGTAACAATATATAGTGTAAAGCGCATAGAGCCTGCTGATGAGCGGGGATATGCGCTATACAAATGCTATCTATTATCTATCTATTATTATTGTAATACCTCTTATCTTCGGCACTTACATAACCTTATTGTGTTGTAAGTGCCGTAAAACTCTGACCTACTGAAACGAAACTAAACATTTGCTCAGGTCTTTATCCTATTGTGGGCTGGAAGATTGGCAAGGAGGTGGTGTACCTGGCCGAAGGTGTGTCCGCCGACACGGGGAACGTGATGACGTGGGCCGAGTCGATGGGTGAGTCCAGACGTCCTTGGGCACTGCTCCTCACAGGGATGCTGTTGGGTTTTTTTCCTTTTTGTGGTGTTGTTTTTTTTGTGGCTTTTAGTGGTGACCCCCCGGGGCAGTGCCACTGACTGTAGTGTCTTTCGGCCATTCCCAAAGGGGGGACATTTCTCATTCATGCTCAGTAGAATTGTAAATGGGCTGACTCATGTCATGCTCATAACTGTGCCTGATCTACAACAGGGAACTGCTCCTTTTTCTTTCCTGATCCTTACTATTGTCATTTTCCTTTACTTCTTTTGTATGTTTGTCACTCTCTTGTGACCTGCTAGTTCCGGGGTGCCTTGATAGTCGAAGCAGACCTTGTGCTGTTGAAGCTAGAGAGGTGAGCAGTCTAAGTCTGATTCCCTGTAACGACTTCTCTGTTGACACCCACCCCTTGGCGCTCATATGACCTTATGCAGTTGCAAGCGCCATAAAACCCTCTACTATTACTACTTACTATTTTTGTGGTGTTGGGTTTTTTTCCCCTTATTTATATCTGAAGAACAATTAATATTCCAAGCATTTGTAAGGTGTGCTAACGAAATTATTTACTTCTCGTGGGTGGTTGGAGGGCGTCACTGGTAGGTCCTATTTTTTTAGTTTCTCTCTGTTGTTTCTGTCTGTCTGTCTGTCAGTCTGTCTTACTTTTTCCCAGCACTAAATGACCATTATTGTTTCAATATACTTCTCTTTACACAAATGAACAAATGAATCAGTTACTTCTTGCAGTCCTTGTATGGAGGTATCTGCAGAAAATTGACACAGGTGTTTAAAGTGTAGATTTTCAACTGATGACTGTGGGTGGTTGGAGGGTGCTCTGGTGTGGTTTGCTTCTTCTCTCCTATGAAACACCTATCGTCCTCCTCTCCCCTTCTTCTTTTTTATGTTTGTTACTCTCTTGTAACACCTCAATCTTCTGGCGCTCATATGACCTTATGCAGTTGCGAGCGCCGTAAAACATCTACTAAAACTAAAACTAAATCAGTTTGACATAATTCCTGTTTTTAAACGGACAAATCCGAGAAGTTGCTCATTTTGTCCGTACGTCCCACATTTGGTGTCTGATAACCCCATATATTAGTTGTGTCTGTTAACCCCATATATTAGTTGTGTCTGTTAACCCCATATATTAGTTGTGTCTGTTAACCCCATATATTAGTTGTGTCTGTTAACTAAACTAAATCACGTAAACTGAAGATGGTTGATCTGAGAACAGTCGTAAACCTTTAAAGAAAATACAATCCCCCATTTTTTGTCTTCTTCACTATTTTTTGTCTTCTCCCCCATTTTTTGTCTTCTTCACTATTTGAGCAGTCTCTCTAAACCATGGAAGCCCTGGGCAGTGCTACTGACTGAAGTGTCTTTAGGCCATTTCCAAAGGGGGGGTATATTAACCTGTTCTTATGCACGGTATATTAACCCGTTCTTATGCACAGTAGAATTGTAAATGGTATTATTTATCATGTCATGCTCATACTGTGCCGAAACAACATAGGGGGAACTGCTGCTTTTTCTTTCCTCTTCCTTACTATCGTCATTTTCCTCTACTTCTTTTGTATGTTTGTCTCTCTCTTGTGAACTGCTATTTCCGGGGTGCCTTGATAGTCGAAGCAGACTTTGTGCTGTTGAGGCTGGAGAGGGGAGCAGAGTAAGCCTGATTCCTCGTTTGAACTTCTCTGTTGACATCCACCTCTTGGCGCTCATATGACCTTATACAGTTGCGAGCGCCGTAAAACCTTACTAAAACAGCCCATGTTGTTACAGGTTTATTTGAGGACGTGTCTGAGACTTCAGAGATGGCCGAATCTGTACCTGGTAAGTGCTGGGTTTTTGGGGTTTTTTTTGTGTTTTCCAACTGTATATGTGAAGCATGCTGACAGAATGAGTTACTTCTCGGATTCGAGCCTTAAGTTTAGAAAATCGATAAATCACTCTTATAGGTGAAGTTTTTACAATTTATAAGTATAAAATAATAAAAGACAGGTTATAGTTAAAGAATATAGCATTAATTTTTTTTTTAAACATCTACAAATTTGACCCTATTGAAGGTGTTTGGACAATATCTTCATTTGTGCATTGCGAGAAATAACTCATTTTGTCAGCACGCCTCACATATGTATATACCCGTGTTCAATTCCCGAATGGGAGGAATATTTGTATTGAGTGTTTCAGTCTTTCTGCTGAAATGTTGTATCCCTCTCTCGCTCAGTCTGTGGGTGGTTGGCGTGTGCTCTGGTGTGGTTTGCTTCTTCTTTCCTGTCAAACATCTATCGTCCTTATCTCCCCTTCTTCTTTTTTATGTTTGTTACTCTCTTGTAACACCTTTAATCTTCAGCACTTTTATGGCCTTATTGTGTTGCAAGTGCTGTAAAAACACTTGCCCAAAAAAACAAAACAAAAACAACTGTCCCAACCCCCCAGGGTGGTGTTACTGACTGAAGTGTCTTTAGGCCATTCCCAAAGGGGGGACATTAACATGCTCTTATGCACAGTAGAATTGTAAATGGACTGATTCCTCATTGTCATGCTTATAACTGTGCCTGAACTGCATATTGGGAACTGCTGCTTTTTCTTTCCTAATCCTTACTATCATCATTTTCCTTCTACGTCTTTTGTATATTTGTCACTCTCTTGTGACCCGCTATTTCCGGGGTGCCTTGATAGTCAAAGCAGACTTTGTGTTGTTGAAGCTAGAGAGGTAAGCAGAGTAAGCCTGATTCCTGAATGGACTTCTCTGTTGACATCCACCTCTTGACGCTCGTATGACTTTATGCAGTTGCGAGCGCCGTAAAAACCCTTCTAAAAAAGCTGTCCCTCTTTTTCTTTCTCATTCTCCCAGATTCTGGTGGGGTGTATTTTGTGTCGGCCTTCAGCGGTCTGCAAGCTCCCTTCAACGATGACCTTGCCGTGACCTCCATGTTCGGCATGACCCCCAACACCACCAAGGCTCACATAGTGCGGGCCATCCTGGAGTGCGTAGCATTCCGGTTCAAAGCTCTGTACGAGACAGCCCTCACGGAGACCAAACTGCCTTTGTCTCAAGTCAGGTGGGTAGAGAGTACACAGGTCAAATGGTCACTTTTAAGCACAAGGGGGCTGTATCCCGAAAAATGCTGTTTTTATAAAACCGTAGGTAAAGTTTTTGTCCCTTGTTCAATTTCTATAAAAGACAAGGAGTTTTCTCTATAACCAAACACATATATACACTCCAATTAAACCAAATTTCTCGTATAGGTAATGCAATGCCCACTTTTGGTGTTGGTCAAGATTTCTAGAAACCCCCGAAATCTGGGTTAGCCCGCTAGTCCTTAAAGGTGACCAAATACAGTCCCAACTTTTTCTAAAAACCTGAAAATCCACGTGTCCAGTTTTTCGGCATTTTGATCAAATGAATGTAGTCACTTCTTGCTCTCAGCTCAGGATATGTTTTTAAGTCACTTCCATCTCAGTGGAGGTGTTCGGCACAAATTAACAATCGTGTAATTGCGTGGCAATCTTAAGATTGCGCTGCGCATTTTAACGATCGTATAATTGTGTCATTTTTTTTAGCTCTTCAGTTTCATACCTTAATTGTAATTTTAATTTTCATATATATATTTTGACACTTTTGAAAATATATGAACATTCCTTGATGTGAGTAAAATAATTAAGATGGAAGTGAATTTTTTTTTTTTATCTAAAAAAATATAAAATATGAGCGCAATCTTCAGATTCCAGCGCAATTATACGATCGTTAATACGCTCGATCGTTAAATTGTGCAGAACAGAGACTTTCAAACAATATTGCATTATGTCTATGACTATGAGACCAGTTGGCCAGTACTTTTGCCACATTCACGATTCCTCATTCCGGATGCGTCTAAGGGTTACCTATTATATTTTGTCATAAAAAGTCTGATGTGTCTATGTCTAAGGGTTACCTAATATACTTTGTCATAAAAAGTCTGGTCTATGTCTAAGGGTTACCTATTATACTTTGTCATAAAAAGTCTGATGTGTCTATGTCTAAGGGTTATCTATTATACTTTGTCATAAAAAGTCTGATGTGTCTATGTCTAAGGGTTATCTATTATATTTTGTCGTAAAAAGTCTGCTGTGTCTAAGGGTTATCTATTATACTTTGTCATAAAAAGTCTGATGTGTCTATGTCTAAGGGTTATCTATTATATTTTGTCATAAAAAGTCTGCTGTGTCTAAGGGTTACCTATTATATTTTGTCATAAAAAGTCATTTTTCTTACAACAGAGGAATGTTGGCATAGTCGCCTCTAGCCTTCAGTGCACAATATGTACAGCATTGTGGTGAAATCAGGCACTCGTCAAAGTAATGAAATAGAAGAAACTAGCATTTTTCTGCCAATTTGGCAATTTTTATCTAATTTTTGGTTTTTGGCTCTATTATCTATTATCTAATTTTTGTTTTTTGGCTCAACACCTCTACTGTTCATTTAAGAATACATTTCTGTGTAGATTTTACTGAAAATCGTTAATTAAAGGCACGAAAAATGTATACTTTTTCACTTTTCATGGAGCCTCAAGCTACTGAAGTCACCAAACTGTGGTGGCCATTTTTTTTCTCTAATTTTACCTCTAAAACCAGGTAACCCCACCTATTTCAATGGCAAATATCTCGAATTTTATTCAAGATACAGGAGTATATCTTTCATTGAAAGCAAAACAAATGAACAAGCTTTATGGTGATACCAATAACGCCACATGCCCAACAGTTGATAAGCGCCTGATTCAACCCCGTCATGATACATATATTTGTTGTCAACCCTCCAAGCATCGCTTACAAATGACCTGCGATGTCAGGAGAAATTACATGGTTTCAACAGAATATATTAGAAAATGCTTGAAAACCTATCAAAACAAGCAAGTAAAGGGCATAAATCTAAACATTTTCCGAAAATAAAATATAGATAAAAAGCATTGTTTGTTCTTTTGTGAAGGAGTTGAAATGTTTGTCAATATTAAAAGAAACAACGGGATACGTGAATGGAACTGAAAACTGAAATTTGGCTATGACACCAGAGAAGGAAATTTATATAGCCAGTTTAAATGGTTGTTGACACTTGTAAGTCACTAGTTAACACTTTTCAGTCACTTGGCGCAATAATGTTACAAAAGGACCCATAAAGCAACACTCTACTTTAACAATATAACGAGACTGTAAGACAAAGTAGACTGATAAGTGGCAAAAAAGAAAATTATGCGCTGATGAAAATATTCCCTTCCGGTCACTGCGCCAGGCCGGAGAAGTAGTCCGTTGCAGTCGCTCTCCTGGCTGGGTGTCCAGATGGGGGTATTTTGTACCGCTGACTGTGTGATTGCTAAGTGTCAAAGGCAGCAGTGAGAAATGTCTTGCTTTGTTCTTTCAGAGTGGACGGAGGTGTGGCCGGTAACGACTTTGTGGTGCAGCTGATGAGTGACTTGGTGAACCAGACGATTGACCGCAGCGACACCGCCGATATGTCTGCTCTGGGCGCGGCTTATTTGGCCGGTCTGGCCTCAGGTGCGTTCAGTTGTTTAGCCACAGTTGGGTTCAGTTTGTGTAGCCACAGGTGGGTTCAGTTTGTGTAGCCACAGGTGGGTTCAGTTTGTGTAGCTAGCCACAGGTGTAGCCACAGGTGGGTTCAGTTTGTGTAGCTAGCCACAGGTGTAGCCACAGGTGGGTTCAGTTTGTGTAGCTAGCCACAGGTGTAGCCACAGGTGGGTTCAGTTTGTCTAGCCACAGGTGGGTTCAGTTTGTGTAGCCACAGGTGGGTTCAGTTTGTGTAGCTAGCCACAGGTGGGTTCAGTTTGTGTAGCTAGCCACAGGTGGGTTCAGTTTGTGTAGCTAGCCACAGGTGGGTTCAGTTTGTGTAGCCACAGGTGGGTTCAGTTTGTGTAGCCACAGGTGTAGCCACCGGTGGGTTCAGTTTGGTTGTAGTAAATAGTTTTACTTGTGACACAAATAGGTTATATAAGTGCTGAAGGAGGAGGAGAGATAAGGACGATAGATGTTTGATAGGAAAGAAGGAGCAAACCACACCAGACCACCCGCCAACCACCCACTTCCAATGTTTCCTCTGTGTTCAGGTGTATGGTCCAGCAAAGAGGAAGTGGAATCTTTGAGAAAACACAACAGACAGTTTGAGCCGCGACACACCTGGCCCAGCTACAAGAAGCTCTACTTCAAGTGGGAGGACGCCATCCTCCGGTCCAAGAAGTGGTACCCGGGCCTGTGAGCACTTGTTACCGCCGACGACGACACCGCCCCAACCCCGCCACACCCCTCCACCACACCCCCACTAACGAAGAAGTGGATCAACAAACCCGATCGGGCTTTCATGAACTCTTACAAGTCGTAAACAAATTCCCAGCTTTGCCGCAGCAAATTTAGTTAGAAATATAATGTGGGTATATTACGTTGGCATTTACTGCGTTAAAGAAAATGTTTCAAGCTACAAGCACTTATTAGTAGCCATTAGAATCTTGAGACAAGAATGAAGATTTGATGGCGCTCATATGGCCTTATGCTGTTGCGAGCGCCGTAAGACCCTCTACTTTTTTTTTTTTCTTTTTTTTTTAAGGAAGATTTGCTATAATGTGAGAATCCAGTTTCAGTACAATACAGACAATCTGTGACAAGTGGGGAGAACAAGAAATAATGTGGCATCTAACCAGTAGATGTACTACTGACTTCTGAGGGTTACAGTATTACAGTATAACACGGATAGGTCGAACACACAAGACTCGAAATCACGCATCCGTCAAACTGTGCCTGCTGTCATGAGTTGGGTTTTTTTCTTCTTTATCTTTGTAAGCTATCCTCTCAAACTACGGATCCCTCAAACTACCAAGGCCAGTCCTGATGAATTCAAGGAGCTATCCGTTTTATAATGTATTTTGTTGCAAGTCGAGAAACCTGATGTTGCACATTAAGGAAATGAAATAGAGTTGTAAATTGCTGTGAGCTAGAAATGGTCAGTAGGGCTGGATCCTGCTCGTCAAATTTGAGAGTGACGATTCGCGATTCAGTCGGCTTCAATGAATCGCGAGTACGCGAGCGCTCGTGGAGCTGTGACAGAACACTGACTGAAATGGAACAGTGTCATATCAACGCCTCTTGGCGAGCGCGAGTCCCACTCTCGTTGTTCCGCCATCCTCTCGGCCCCACACCTTTTGTTGCGCTGCTCTATCAACTGACCTCAATTAGTGACCCCCATAAATCCCCCCCCCCCCCCCCCCAAACCCTATGATTCGTGAAAACGATGGCTCACTAAAATTCCTTCTGTCTATTGGTTGGACCCCATTCATTTTGTTTTAATAGGGGGATTGGACTATTCCATCTTTTGTAAAATAAGGGGAGCCATACTAAGTGTTCCGTTCCGTTCTTGCGCTCATGATTCGACTCACGACTCAGCAGTAGGTTAAACAAGCCACAAGGTGGTGACAGCGACAGGGGAGGGAATCGGGAATCGTTTGTCGATACTGTGCCGTGTTCCACTGAAGTGAATCGTGAATCGCGTTCCGCAGGGAAGAGTGGCGATTCAGTTCCGTTCTCGCGCTCGTGACCCAGCCCTAATGGTCAGATGTATGTGCCTGGTTTTGAAGAGAGGAAACAGAGAAATGCATATTAAAGCATGAGTTGCTGTAAAATTACTCATTTTTTTGTTTGTGTGAGCGTTTTTGTTTTTTTGTGAAGCCTTTTGAAGATTAGAAAGGGATTTTGTGTACACGAAGAAGAGATTTGTCAATTTTGCGAACTCCTACACAGTGGAAATGTTCTAAGGCTAGGTGCGCACGGGGGCAACTTTAGCTGCACAACAGTCTTGTCACCCAAGTGTAAACAACCAAATAAAGAAGCACCGCACGCACAGGCAACTCCAGTTTTTAGCGACTGAAAAGTTTGTGTTTTGTTACAACTTGCCTGCAATTCGCGACATCAGTGCTTTTTTGCCGTATCCCCATTTTTTTAACAGTGAAAACTGTTCCTGTGCGCGCATAGTCTCAGATAACAACCCATTGTCGCTGAGGAAATTGTCTGTTTTAGACTGGTGGATGTTTTACAGCGGGTCATCCATCGCAATGTAGAAAAATACGCAAGGGAGGTAGCGGGAAGTGGCCATTTTTACAAACGATTGTCCTGTACATATTGGTGTTAAAGCATGTTCCAATGTATATTCTTTTTTCCACTTGTCATAAAAAGAGTTGCTTGCAAGATAAATCTGTTTTTACAATGACCTCGTTTTTGTACAATTGGATGCATCCCACTGTGGCTCTCTCTGTGTGCATTCCTTTATCTTTACCAAGTTGTATTTTTGGTCTGTTATACAAGATACTCTTGCCATAAGAGCCTGAAATGTTTTCTGCCTTAGATTTGATCACGAGTAATTGAATCCAGTGTCACACTGTTGATCTTTTGATCTTGTTTATTCTTGATATAGTTGAAGTTGTTTAGTCATTTATTCTTCTTTTCTCTCTCCGTCTCTTCTTGCCTCCCCCCTCTCTCTTTCCTTCTTTCCTTTTCTCTCTCCCTCCCCCTCTCTCTCTCTCTCTCTCTCTCTCTCTCTCTCTCTCTCTCTCTCTCTCTCTCTCTCTCTCTCTCTCTCTCTCCCTCTCTCTCCCCCTCTCTCTCTCTTTCTCTCACCCCCCCCCCACCTCTCAAAGGGTAGTTTATGTGTACATTCTGAGCACTGTGTGCCTCAGTTTGTCTAGCTGAAGGGCAAGTTGTGTGTTACTTTTACTGACATTTGTGATGCTGTTTAGAACCATGATTGCCTTTGTCTTTTTTTTGTCTTTTTTTTGTCTTTTTTTTGTCTTTTTTTTGGTCTTTTTTTTTTTTTCAGAATGTGAATTCAAAATTTGGAAGCTGTTTTTCCAACACCTTGGAGATTGATTATTAGAATGTACTTGCACAGTTCAGAGATTCATTTCATTTTGCTCTGTTTTATTTTCATTCCCTCAAAATGATTTGGAAGGTTACAAATGAATTACGTCTGAATGATTTCATCTGCGGAAAAAAAGTTCCGTGTAGAAAGAGTTAATCCATGACATAAAGAGATATTTTGTTGTTGGGATGTTTTTGTTTTCCCATGATTTATAAGAGAGCAAATACTAATGTACTTATTTTTATGCAATGAATTATGTAATGAGCAATAATGATACATATATGAGGAATTTGAAGATGTTATATTTTGTGCACATCTGAGAAAAATACAGAATCTGTTCCCTGTTTCCTGCATGAAAAACTTTCACATCCTGCGCTCCAGTTTTGCCCTCAGTATCTTGGGGTTCCTTTTGGGTTTCTTTCCTTCTTTTTCTTTTTTTGGTGGGTGTTGTGTTTTAGAACTAATGTTTTTTACGTTGTGCTTATGAAGAACAAATTCTTTGATGTTGAACTTACAAAATTTAACTCACTGAATACCAACGTTTTGTCTTTCAACTACGCTCGAAGATGTGGTATTAGAAAGATGTATGACCTCGTCATTCATACAGATTTTTCGTTCTGTATTTTTCATGTGAAACTGGAAAAGGTAGGCAACATGTATACTACGGAATATTATGTAAGTTTATGTTTCCTACTTGTTTATATGGTGGTTCAAAATGTGCTGCAGAATTGCCTTTGGTTTGCTAATTGGACATATTAAATGTGTCAGCTGCAATTTTCAAGAGTTAAGACAGTCAAATTTATCCATCTGATAAAATGGCAATGCATCAGGATAAACCCCATTTGAGTTTCTGCCTTTAGGTTTGCAATAAAGCATCTCTTGTTCTGTCCCCGTCGTTTTATGCAAGAAAAATTCTGAAATTATGCAAACTGAACCCAAAAATGTGAAATTATGCGATTCTGTTAATTTTAACAAAGAATGATAAAGGAAAATAATCAAAGATTATGCAAAAAATGATCAAATTTTGCTAAATTATGCAGGGTGCATAAAACCACGGGGACAGCTTGTTTTTGATTCAACGGATTGAATTTCACTTTGGCTTACTAATAAACCTGGTTCCTCAAGGTTAAAAGGTGATTTGTATTGGAAATAACTAAAACAGGGAAAGAAGTTTTCAAAAGTCAAAAAGTAGTGCGATGATGTAAGTGTGAAGAAACCTGGCCAGGGCTGTGCTTAAACCTTCGAGTTCAGATTTGAGTCCCAATTCATCAAAAAGGTCCTTGTTTCCTGGGACAAAAATTTTCAAATCCTCAGATTTGTTAAAAAATTTTCTCCACAAGTGTAACTGTTGAGGTTATAAATTGAATAAAGTTCATCATAATAATGATAATAATAATTATAAATACAGTCGACGTCACTTATGTTGAACTCGCTTGAATTGATCTTGGGTTAAGTTGGGGGGTTTTTCTCAGTTCCCAGCATCTGTTCTTTACAAATCCCAAGTTGAACTTTGGATGAGTTCATTTTTTCCCCCTCCTCCGACGACATCAACTCACACTTAATCGTCTGCTGTTCGTCCCTCAATATCTGATCATGACCACCATTTACTACAATATGATCAATTGCAGTTGCACATTTTAAGCTTTGATTTGAAAACTACCTTAACAAGATCAATTCAATCCAAAATACATGTTTGACACGAAAAATAGTCATTTTGATTTTTTTAATTTAGAAACTTTTAGTGGCTTCAGGAGATGTAGCCAGATCAATTGTAGAAATATTTAAGGCAAAAGTGCTTAAAGTGACATGGCTTATCTTAGAACAATGATGGAACAATGAGTTTGTATGATAGCTCTAGTCATGTTTTGTGCCTGTTATTGAGTAAGTTTCTTTCTAAATTGTTTCACAAATGGTGTCTTATTAGTAACAGCATTACTTAAAAGTAATTTTCTTTTTTGCCACTTATCAGTCTACTTTGTCTTGTTATATTGTTATGTGGAGTGTTGCTTTATGGGTCCTTTTGTAACATTTTCTAAATGTGAATTATGGTAAAGTTTTATTTTATGGGTTCCTTTGTACTGTTATAAAGATGAAAGGTAAAGTCAAGCTTCACTGTATGGGTCCCTTTATATTGTTTTCAAAGCATAAATTGTGGAAAGGGATCGCTTTATGGGTCCTTTTGTACTGTTTTCAAAATGTGATTTAAGTCAAGCTACAGTATAATATGGATCCCTTTGTCCTATTTTTAAATTGTGAAAACCTGAAGGCTGTGATCTTGTCTGTGGCTGTGGAGTGGTTTACGGCTACAGTAAGCTACTGTTTGAGATCTTGAATTGGATGACTTCAGTGATTCTGTTGCACTGGAAAATGGATGAATTACTGTCGCATCTGTTACGAATGAATCCACAAACTTTTTTTTTTTTTGCAGATTGTTCAATTCAGCGTGTCTGTCTTATCCCGTTTTGTTTTTTTTTCTCCTCCTCTCCTATTCATTTTTTAAAGATGTTGTACTGAGTTATTAAGGACAATGAATGCAATATTCCAACGTTTTTGCTTCTCTGGCAGCCGTGCGTACTGTGGCCTTCTTTCTATTATCTCTGTCATATTCATATTTTTATATACTTTTTATACTTCACATTCCAAGACAACAGGTGTGTGGAAGTGACAGTTCAAGTTTGTGCCAAAACTTTGTCACAAATATAGCTGTTTTTATGGTTTGGTTTCTTTCTTCTTTTTTTTTTTTTTTTCTTTTTTTTTTCAAAAGTCATTATTTTTGTGTATGTGCATGTAATGAATTTTCGCGGCTGGTTGGAGGGCACCACTGGTGGGAACTACCTCTTTACTTTCCCTTTATTGTTTCTGTCTATCTGTCTGTCTTACTTTTTCTCAGCACTAAATGACCATTATTGTGTCAATGTGCTTCTCTTTGCTCAAACTCAACACAATGAATATTTAGAAAAGAGCAAATACAATGTTCTAACATAATTACATTCTCTAACCTGTCTTGGGATGGATGCAGAATATCTTATCTCTCGATTTCTTTTGTTGTTTTCTCCATGATATTTGTCTTTCGGGAAGACAGAAGTTTCATCTGAGATTGTATTCTGTCTCGTAAGTCATTTTTAAAAAGAATTTCAGTCAAATGGATGTGAAAAGTTTGT